CCATACTCTACAAAGACTTAACAAGAAGTCTATTTCCCTGGGCAAATTCAAATACCCTTTTAGCTATTCCAATCAGTTATAGGTTGAAGATGGTGAACAAGCTTTCTGTAATCATCTATCCCAATATTCTTTTGTATCCCACTTAAATATTTATTTTACAGTAGTAGGCAAGGAAAACAAATATCCACAAGACAGTGAAGCACCTTAACATTATTTCTCCTCTTCAACCAATTCAGACTATGTCTTGATCTCTGTATCACAGAGCCCTGTTTTTCCAAAGTTGAGTATACATTACTGTTTATCCCATTTAGCTCATGTAAACCTCCCTAAGTTTTCTCCTATCTTCCTTGTTCTTCCACTCCCCATCCCCTTCTTATGTATTGCTCTCCCTTTCCAGCAGACAGAGTTTTGAATGCTCTGTATGCCTTAACTCTTAATCATCACAATAACATGTAAGTTGTTGGCACTGATCATTCATTCCTCCTTTCCTTAGAATGAAACTATATGTGAAAGAGATAGAGTTTAATTTGAAGTCCCTCAGCCTAGTAGTAGGTGATGAAATCAGTATCCAAGCTAAGCTTATATTCCTTATTACTAAACAGTGTTATGACTAACATTGAAGATATGAATGGTAAGAGAAATCTTACCATTGAATTCCAGTTATCCTTTATCTCATTCTAATGGGAAAGTTCCAACCAAGAAAAATTGACTTAAATTTTGAAGGCACTCATATAAGCTAAAAGGAATAAAGGAGTAACTGTTAATAGTGTACATATTCATGATTGCTATGTCCTTTGATTTTGAGGGCAAGGGAAGGAAGTATATTTCAAATGTGAGCAACACAGGCTGAGGTTATCATTTTAGCAATATATTGTTTTCATCAATTTAGATTATAGTGAAAAGATCAGTATAGTTCATAGGAGTTCTATTAGTGGCTATCTGAAAGGATAGAAGCATTTCCTCTGAGCTAAATTAATGTAACATTTTAATAATTTTTTTTTTTTGGTCTCTTCTAGATAATTCAACTTTTAAAATGTCAATCTTTGTCTTTAAATTAAAAATAGATTTGATACTCTGGAGATTTTTATATCAAATTAAGTTCGGGGAGTGTTTTTAAAAATGTAGTAGATGAGCATCATTGATTTTGCTGTTTATAATTCAGATTTTTTTAAATGTCAGATTTAAAAATATTTCATTAATAAGGTCATTAGTGTAATGTTTTTTGTTATCCTGTGCCATTTGTAATATGCACAAGTTATTGAATAACTTAACTATATTAATTTTTTTTTTTCAGTTGAACTTTATATTTTGGAGGTTACAAGTTTGTATTAGACCAAAGAGAACCTTGGGATTTTCATTAAGTTCAGATTTCAGAAGTGATAGTTTTTGCTTTCTTTGGCTTCTAAGGAATCATAGCTCTGATGAAACTTTAAAATAATTGTGTGACATTACTTTTCTAATCTAGAGTGACTGCTTTTGTTATTGATTATGGAAGAAAGTGTATATACAGCACATGGTTTTCCAAAGTATTTCCATACAATTTTTGTTTCTTTTAAATGAAAAAAAGTTTTTAAAACTTCGGAAATTTCTCATTTTTTTCTTCTCTAGTGACATTTGGGCTCTGGGTTGTGTCCTTTATGAGATGTGCACACTGAAACATGCAGTAAGTAAAAGTTTCTGAAGTATTAGAATAATAAATATATTAAAAAGTTTGTTGTATTTTACTTTTTGTATTGTATGCCATCTCTCAGATATCCTGTAGTACAACAAAATCTCCTAAATCAGATTTTAAATGTCTCATCTCTTTTCTTAAGCCTTAAATTAAAACGGTTTTCCTTTAACATACATGCATGTGTTATATGTGCATATTTTATTATTATGAATATTTAATTTTTTGTATAACAGGTTTAAATTTTACTGTCTCCTTTAAGATAAAATAATTTATTATAAATTTGATGTTTAAGCTAATTTTGACCAAGTCTATGAAAACTTTGAAATTACTTGTGTTTAGAATTGAAATTATTTCAGTAAATTTTTCCAGCATATTTTATGAGAAATTTTGTCTTTTGATTCAGAGAAATTAAAGTTTTCACTTTTGATGCTTTTTTTTTTTTTTCCTTTTTTTAAAACTTTATTTCAAGATAACAATATTTACAGAAAGGAGCTCTAGTAGCGTAGTGGTTACGAATCAGGCTGCGAGCCGCAAGGTCAGCAGTTCAAAACCACCAGCTGTTCCATGGGAGAAAGATGAGGAGTTCTGCTCTCATAAAGATTTACAGCCTCAGAAACCCTGTGCAGGGAGGCTATGAGTCGGAACCAACTCCACAGCACACAACAACAACAACAACAACAACATATTTACAGAAATACTCTCAATGGTTAATAGAATACAATTTAAGTTTAATTTATTCTACATAATTTAGAGCAAAGACAATTTCTTTTTAATGTACCATTGTTACACGATCAAAAGAGAATTTTCTTCCAGTGATGAAAGTAATTGTAATATTTACCCTGTTAAAAGGCATGCATTGTATTTCTGTTGTTTGTTCTTGGACAAAAATATTAATCACTTAATTATGTTTTTTCACACATCGTGTTCACTAACTTTACTACTACAATTTTATTGTTGTTAAGTGCCATTGAGTCGATTCCGACTCATAGCAACCCTGTATAGGATTTCTGAGGAGCAGCTGATGGGTTTGAACTGCCAACCTTATGGTTAACAGTCCACTGCTGATCTACAGCACCATATTACAGTTTTAGTGCAACAAAATATCTTTAAAATGCCACTCTACAGTAATTTTTGTAAGGCTCATTAAAATGCAGCAGTAAGGAGATTCCATCTGTATAGAAACTAAGAAAATAATATTTGAAAAATAAAGATATTCCATCAGACTGAATACTTTATACTAAAAGTGTATTAAACATTTCTTAAATTCACTTTTTAGTCAATTTTGATGCAATATTATTTAGTGGTAATAAATTTTACGGGGTAATATGTTTAACAAACATTATATTTGAGATTGTAGTTCAGATAAACATTTAATACACAATGCCAAGGTAGTGTCCTTATTCTTTCTTTGTCTTTTTTTAAAAAAAAAATTTGTCCCTGAAAGTTACATATTTAATGTTGACATTTCCTTATTACCTGTGTGACACAGACCAATGAAGTATTCTGCATTAAAATTTAAACCTGGAAACCAGTAGTACAGCATTGAAAAAAATTGTAAAGCAGCTCAGATACATTTAACTCATATTTTATATTTTCATTTGCTTTTTGATGCTATTTTGAGATAGCACATCAACACCTCAAAAAGTGAGAAATCTTTGTTCACAGTAAGTTGAATCTAAATAATGCTTCTAAAGATATGTCTCCCCATTGGCTAAAAAATGGTTTCTTTATAGAAAATTCTAGAAAATGCGTAAAAATATCAACAAGTGAATAAAAATCATTAGAAATTCCTCCAGTCAAAGAACTGTGTAAAATATTTTGTTATTTCCTTCCAGGCTTTATTTGGGTTTATTTATAAAATAATTTCTTTTAGCCCCCCTAAAATTTTGACTATTGTGTGTAAACAGTTATATAACCTGTTTTTATTATTTGATACTATCTGCTGTTCTTGTTAAGTGCTGTTGAGTCATTTCCAATTTTTAGCAACCCTGTATTTAGAGTTTTCAAGGCTATAAATCTTTCTGGGAACAGAAAGTCTCATCTTTATCCTGTAAAGCGAATAGGGAACTTGAATTGCTGACCTTGTGTTCGCGGTTTAATGATGCCATACCCTTCTGTCTAATGTTTAACTTTCTTTCTGAAGGTGAATAAACAGACTGCCAAAGTAATATGCGATGGGTGTTATTAGAAATACATTTGAAGGGTTGTTATTTTTGTCTTTTGACCTACATTGCAGTCACCAATGCTGCTGTGTTCTCTTAAATGGACTTGTTAATTTGAACTTGTTAAATGGACTTGTTAAATGATGTACTTCACCACTTTTTTATTTCATAAGAGCTTATCAGTTGAGAAATAAATGAAAATCCATTGTGGTGGAGGATTAAAGAACCAAATCTTCATTTAGACTATTTTTAGATATTATTGTTGTTGTTGTTAGGTGCCACTGAGTTGGTACCGACTCATAGTGACCTTATGCACAGCAGAATGAAACACTGCCTGATCCTGGGCCAACCTCACTACTGTTGCCACATTTGAGTCCATCGATGGTGCCACTTGGCCAATCCATCTCGTTGAGGGTCTTCTCTTTTTCTCTAACCCTCCACCTTACCAAACATGATATCCTTCTCCAG